CCCAAACGTCAATAAATTCTGTCTTCTCTGTTTCACTCTATCTCTTCTATTACCACTCTATTCCAGGCCACCATCAGTTTTCTCCTGAACAGTTGCCACCTGTCTCTCCTCTAATACATTTTCACAGAGTAATCTAGGCAATCTTTATAAATATAAATCAAATCCAGTCACTCCATGGCTAAAACTTCCCAATAGCAGGTTGTTTCATTTACAATGAAATATAAACTCTAATGCCTTCAAAGCCATGTGTGATTTGACCCTTTCCTGCCCCTCTAACCTTATCTGATACAACTTATTTCCTTGCCCAGTCCTGATTTAATTCCATTCCTAGCACATGCAAATTTCTCTACCTCCTAAACATCTTTACAAGAGCAATTCCCTTTACCTAAAATGATGTTCCTTCTTTGATATTCTCAAAACTGTTTCCTTATTTAGATTTACATCACCTTTTCAGTACGGCCTTCCTGATTATCCAACCTATATCTCATATGCTCTGAACTTATCACTTCTTGATATTTTCCCTTATTTATTTGTTGTTTGCTAATCCATTCCCTTTATTAGAAATATCAACTTCATGAAATCAGGTTATATAGCTCTGAATCTCTAGACATAAAAATAATGGCCTAAAATCTTTGCAAAGCTGCTTGCTAAACAAAGATGGTGATGTCAGAGTTGTGGATTTAATTCTTAAAAGTAGATAACAATGTTTTCAAAGCAATACAGACACAAAGAAAAGAGTGCAGACATAGTAATGAGAAGAAAAACTTAGGTGAAGGAAGATATGAAAAACAGATGCATGACAATCATGTCATAGGAAAACTTTTATAAGTCAAACATGAACACAATTCTAAGGGAACAGAGATGGAGGAAGGAAAATGACTGGTAATATAAGGATTGATCTTTGAGTAGTCTATGGAAGAATGACAGGAAACGAAATTAATACTAGTAGTATGGCACAGTATACACACAACTTTACCTTATATAAAGTTTGAAGGAATATTCAATATATTTGGATATTAAAACTATATTAAAAAAAGCTAGGCAAGGATTTAAAGTCTAGCGAATGACTGAGCATCTTGCTTTCTGTTTTATTTTAAGAAAGTGGCGGACCTCGAGTACAATGCAAAAGTGTTGGAATCCAGAGTTGATGTTACTAACAGCGGGAGCAGGCAAACCACTGGTGACATACAGTGGAGTGACCAGGAACTCAAAGCCAATATGATATGAATATGATGTATGTAATTAAAAACTTTACTTAATGATGAAGTAAAAAGAAGGGTAAACTACCCAATAATTCATTTAAAATGCTTTCAGTTTAAAATAATCATAGCTTTATTGTGATCTGGAATGCACAATATGTATGAATGTTTTCAAATAATACCAAAGACTCATGAAATGTTATCCTAGTCAGTGGGCTCCAAAAGACACATCTCCATTCCTCTTAAATAAACATGTATTTTCTTCTACCATGAGGGCATTTGGTTAGATAGAAAACTCTGAGAAAGGCACCTTAAAATTACTTTTTGAAAAAAGGTAGGAAAGGGATTTGGAGGAACACTAGAAGAGGTTTTTCCTATTTGAATCTTTCCGATCATTTTCCTCCCTGACAAATTAAGAATATGGGCAAGATGAATTATTTTTTGGAGGGAAGAATAAAAGATCTAAAACAGGGGTTATATTCATGAAGATCCTATAAAATTTGTAGTTCTATACTAGGCTCTTCCTGGATGGACACAAAAGTTCAGTCATGGTCCTTAGTCAAGGGAGCCTGGAAAATAAAATATGCAGAAAAAAATTCAAAGCTGATGACTATAATAATAAGCAACATGTACCAGAAAATAACTTCCATTATTGTGTAAGTATAATGTGAGATAAAGGTAAGACATAAAAATAATGGCCTAAAATCTTTGCAAAGCTGCTAGCTAAACAAAGATGGTGATGTCAGAGTTGTGGATTTAAGAATCTGTTTCTGGGATTTCTTCCAAATCCATTATCTAGAGAGGAATTTATCCAAATGGAACCTACTATCATCTGTCTTAGCTGTGTTTATTTCATGATATCAAGGAATGTTAGAGCCAAAAGGTATCTAAAACTTAGTGAACTTTTGGTCTAACTTATATTATAGATACAGACACTGAGACCTAAAGAGGTTAAGAAATTACCTACCAATGAGAACACAGTCTATTATTGATTAATCTGGAAACATTAAAAATATGCTTTTATATAATACTTACATAATTTAAATATCAATAACTTAAAGAACTAATAGTTTAAATAACAATGATAAAGCAAACTACCAGAACATTCCCTTCCTTAGAATGTCCCTCCTTCCTCTGAAAAGGTGTCTCCTTTTTAAGACCGAAATTCTAGTTTATCCTTTCTTTGTCTTTCTGGTTTTAGCATGTTTCTCCAAATAATACATTATTTATTTTTTCTGTTTTTGGGCATTACATAAAAGGCATTATCATTCCTGTCACTTAATTCACTCATTTCCAGTTTTGCTATACTCATTTTCCTGTTATATAATTTCTATTGCGTAAATAGTGATTTATTCATTTTAATATTGATGAGTAGTCTAAGATTACTGGCAGAATTCTGCTATTATGACCAATTTGGGTAGATGATTTTTGGTCAACAATTCAGTTATTATTAGGTCATAAAAAATTCACACGATTAAGTGCTCATGCCAAAGTGTATTCTAAACAACTCATGTAAATTTACCCTTCATATAGTTAAAATTTGGTCTTCTGAGCCATGGCTTTACTAAAACTCATGATTTTCAAGTTTTTAAAACAGCCAATCTGATGATTATGAGGTGATAAATCACTGTGTTTTTTTATTTGCTGTTTTCTGATTACAAATGAGGTTAATTATATTGTCTATCTTTACTGTCATTCAGGTTTTTATTTGCATCTGTTTATTAGAGTATTTTGCATAATCATTCCATACATTTTTTTTAAAGGATTTATTTATTTATTTATTTATTTATGCAAGCACTGGGTACAGTCAGAAGCCCAGGAGGGTGAGAGAATTCACCAGAGCCAGAGGAGGGAACAGAACAGGCAGACTGACAAAATACACTGCTGAGGGGAGCAGTGGGCAGCAGGTGGTCTGCGCGCCATGTGGGACCCTCACCCGGCAGCTGGGGATTGAACCGGTGCTGCAGAGGCTGCGGGCAGCTTCGCAACCCAGCGCTCAACCGCTGCACCACGGGGGAGGCCCACATTTTTTACTAATATGCAAGAGTTTGTGTCTTTATATTCAAGATTCTAATCATTCTGTGATTCATATGCATTGCAAATATGTAATACAGGGTGTGTTTTGAATATCAAGTTATTAATTATAAAAGTCAAAGTTATTTATCTCTTAAGAAACTTGTCTCTATCCAGTAATGTCAGTTTGGTGTCTCACTGTCTAAATTTTTATACTGTTTTTTCTTTTTTTTTCCTTTTCACTCAGTTGTGTATGCTAGGAGGTCTAATGGTAATGGGTGACCCCATTTTCAGATGGAAACTTTCAGTGTTGGACAGATCAACTAGATAGAAAATAATCAGTGACATAACAGTCTTTTGGGGAAAATTGAAATTTTATTCATTTTGTATCCTAGACTTCAGTACAGTTTATATATAACATACTTAGGTCTTCATTAAATGTTGAATTCACACTGCTAACCTTACACTTAAAAATTGTCATGTGGAATAAAAGAAACAAGTGTTAAAAATTTAATTTATGCCTGAAGGGGGTGTCTTACACTTCTATTATGGAAACAATGATGTAAACCAATATTAATGCAATAAAAATATTTTTTAAAAATTTCATTTAAAATAAATTAAAATTATGTAAACAGAAACTAAGGCAGTGTGAATTAAGAGACTTGCTATGATCACACTATGGGATAAAAAGAACCGGGCATAAGTGTTCTGATTCTGATTTTAGCCACTGCTTTTTGAGATGACGATTATATTTTCTAAGTGAAGATAAACCATATAACTATAATTTTTATGAATTTTAAATTTATATTTATGAGGTTTTACAAACCTTAAAAAGTTACCTAATTATGAATGTTCATATACTAGACTATATTGTGACTGCACTATAAAAATATGGTTTCTTTACCATATCAATCTACTGTGCCAAAATAACTCCTCAGATTCTTCACATAAAACTAGTGATATTACTTTTTCTTTTTTTTTTAAATTTATTTATTTATACAAAAACTGTGGTACAGGCCAGATGCATGGGAGGGTGAGAGGATTCACCAAAGGCAGAGTGGGAAACAGAACAGGCAGACTGAAATACGCTGCTGAGGGGAGCAGCGGGCGAGACAGGAGAGGTCTGCTTTGCCATGTGGGATTCTCGACTGCTGGCCCGGGATCAAACCCTCACTGCAGAGGCTGTGGACAGCTTCACAGGCCGGCACTCAACTGCCTGCGCCACCAGGGAGGTCCTGTGATATTACTTTTTCTATTGAGCATGTAAATCCTTCCACAATGTAAATCCTTCCATACCAGCAGCTCAGCAACTTTTGATTAGGGATTTTTTTTTAAGATTTTATTTATTTATGCATACAAAAACTGTGATACAGGCCAGAGGTGTGGGGGTTGAGAGGATTCACCAGACACAGAATGGGGAACAGAAAAGGCAGATTGAATGAAATACACTGCTGAGGGGAGCAGCGGGCGAGTCAGGAGAGGTCTGCTGTCCATGTGGGTAGCTCCCTGGCTGGAGATCGAACTCATGCTGCAGTGGCTGCAGACAGCCTTGTAGGCTGCGTTAACCCCTTGTGCCACCAGGGAGGCCCTTGATTAGGGATTTTTTAATAGCAAATTTATTATTACATATTTTGGAGTGACATACCATAAGGTTACAAAAAGGAAAAAAACTTTGAAACTCTAGAAAAGATATTACATAGGATTCAGACATAATTTTATAGTAAGAAAAACATGCAACACATTTTTGTAATATCTGTTAAAGAAGAAAATGATGAGGTCCACTCTTACCTGCTTAAAAAGTTGGAGGTTAACTGCAGTTTCCAAGAACTGTTTCATCAGACTTGAGCGATGCTTTACAAAACTTTCCTCACAGAAAGTGATGGGCTCCCCCTACACAGAAATAAAGAATTTCTAGATGTCAGTAAAAAGTCAGTTAGAAAGCACCAATTTTTCTAAAGTGGTACATGTAAAGTCTTTGAGGAAATATTAGACAGAATCAATTTCCAGGTGCTTAAAGTCTAAAAGGAGTCAGACCATTTTAACATAATAGTTGGAGTTCAAGCTAGTACAAATATTTCTCGACTGACAAGCTCTACTATAAGTTGTTATTTGAGGTTCTTTTAGATTCTGAAAATTGCTCAGTTTCATTCCCTCAGAATCTGCTAATGTAATCCTTTAGAATAAATCCTCTAAAAACAAAGACAATGTAATTAAATTATGGGTATTAAAGTAGCATGTATACATAAAAAATTCCAACAATTTCTATTTTCATCCTGATTGAATTCTTCAATAAAATGTACTCCTGTGTACTATAACTTTGTTGTATAGTTAATACCTTTGTTGTATAGAGTAATACCTCCATTATTCTATTTTTGCCAGAATTTCTTTGGTTATTGCGGGTCTTTTGTGGTTCCACACAAATTTCAGTAATGTTTGCTCTGTTTCCTTGAAGAAAGCTATTGGAATTATGAGAGGACTTGCATTAAACACGTGTATTACTTTGGGTCAAATGGCCATTTTAATAATGTTGATTCCTCCAATCCATGAGCATGGAATAACATTCCATTTTGTTGTGTGTTTAAAAAATGGTCTTTATTTAAAAAGTGGTCTCTATAATTTTGATTGTAGAAGCCATTCTTCACCTTTGTTAATTCCTAGGTACTTAATTCTTTTTTTGATGTAACTGTAAATCATTTCTTGGTTTCTTTCTTTACTAGTTCATTGTCTGCATACAGGAACACACAGACTTCTGTGTACTGAATTTTAAGGCTTGCCACTTCACTGTACTGATTCTTTGTTTCTAATAGTTTATCAGTGGAATATTTAGGATTTTGTATGCATATTATCATGTCCTCTGAAAATAATGATGGTTTACTACTTCTTTCCCAGTTTGCCTTTAGTGGGAGCTCAAACTACATAATTGATATTACTAATTGATCATTACTACTGATAATTTTAGCTTTAGTTGACGGATTTTTACCCCCCCTGTGGGGTCAGTCTCCTCAAAAAGGTCAAATAGGTTTTTCTCAATATTGTCAGTTACCATAGGCTTCTTACAGTGAGTGTCTCCTTGGTATGGGAAACTAAAGACCACTTAAGACCCAGTGATCCTCAGAAGTCTATTCTGTTACCTGAAGAATGCAGATGTTTTTATGTTAAATTCAGTAAAGGTCCCAGAGCCTAAGAATTCTGTTCTTTCCTGAGTTGTTTGTCCATTTCTTAAGAGAAGAAGCAATCACTGCTTCTTCTTTTTTATTTTATGTAATTTGGGGGTATCATCTAGGTGTAGGTTTATTACTGAATATGTCCACCCTTTCTGAAAAGCTAATCCTTTACTATGACTAATCTTTTACTATAAGAAAGAGGTCATCCTCACCTTGTCATATGAAATCTCCCACCCACCCATCTCCTTGATGCCCTAGGTCCTTCAACACAAGATAACTCTTCCTGATCTGCTCCATTTTTCTCTACAGTTTACAACCATGTAAATCTCTACTTGTATACTGTGAAAATGATTTTCCTTTGCTAACCCATTTGATGCTGTTCTGATTACTTGCATAGCTTGAAAAGAATCCAGAGGGGTGGGGGATTTTACCCTGTGCCCCAAGACCCCAGACATGTGAAATGTATTTTATTACCATCAGTGATCTAAAAGTTGTGATTAACATTGCTGGAAAATGCTTTTCAGTCCTAAAGTTCTATTTCTAACTGAAAAGAGTCAACTTTCTATGTTAGAACTTTCTATATTATAGGCAAGCAATTCTTTTAATTGGAGGGAATGGAGAGCATGGGCACAGAAAGTCTCAAAGCAAGGGAAATGAATGAGAATATGAGATATGTAGCAGTAGCACAAAGTTAGAAACTTGAGTGTGAAAAATTTGTCATTTAACATATATTTAGGAACTGTCTGCATAGAGCTAAGTATTCAAGATAAGCCCATCACTCCAATTAGGGAAAAATATTTACGCATCTGAGAAATATTTATGTATAAACTGTTTTTTTAAATTATAATGTATACTGACAGAAAAAGTAAAGGTATGTGTATATATACACATACACACACACATAGAATAATCAGGAGAAAATAAAAAGGTAGTAAACAAAAATACTTCATAAGAAATGCAGGTGTTGCACTGTTGGTGGGAGTGCAAACTGGTCCAACCACTATGGAGAGCTGTGTGGAGATTTTTGAACGTACTAAACATAGAGCTTCCATATGATCCAGCAATTCCACTCCTAGGTATTTACCCAAAGGACATAGAAACATCAATTCCAAAGAGCACCTGCACCCCTATGTTTATAGCAGCACTGTTTACAATAGCTAAGCTTTGGAAACAACCCAAATGCCCAAAAATACATGACTGGATCAAGAAGATGTGGTACATATACACCATGGAATATTACTCAGCATTCAAAAAAGATAAACACATGCAATTTGCAGCAACATGGATGGCGCTGGAAGGGATCATGCTCAGCGAAATAAGCCAGAAAGAAAAATACTGGATAGTCTCACTCATAGCAGGAATCTAGAAAACTTAAATAAGGGACCAGGAAAATTAATAACTTTAAGAAAGTGAAAATCAAAATCAACAAAAAACTATGAACCAGAGACACTCTATGGGTGGTGGGGAATGGGGAGGGGAGGGATTGTGGTCAAAATAAGGGGATTGCAATTGTATGGGGAATATAAAAATAAAATTTATTTAAAAAAAAAGAAAAGCACCTTCACAAAAAAAAAAAAAAAAAAGAAATGCAGGTGTTGTGGAAGAGCAACTGAATCTTTTGCTCCATGAAATGAGTGATGAAACAACAGAAATGAATCAGAATAAAAACCATTTGGATGCAGTTTTACGCAAAAGACCATGGAAGGAAGTAAGATAAATATAATTTGTACTAGAGTAGGAATGAATTCTGTTTTTTTTTTTTATAAAGTCTTTTTTTTTTTAAGATTTATTTATTTATACAAGCATTGGGTACAGTCAGAAGCGCAGGTGGGTGAGAGAATTCACCAGAGCCAGAGCGGGGAGCAGAGCAGGCAGAAGAACTGAAGTACACTGCTGAGAGGAACGGCTGGCGGCAGGAGAGGTCTGCGCGCCATGTGAGACCCTCCTCCAGTGGCCGGGGAGCAGCCGGGGGATCAAAACGGCGCTGCAGAGACTGCAGGCAGCTTCGCAACCCAGCGCTCAACTGCTGCGCCACCGGGGAGGCCCAGGAATGAATTCTTTATCATAGAAACCAAAATTTCCAGAAAGGAAGCACTGACATTACTTGCCATGAAATTTAAGTATCATGTCAGTCAACAAATAAATACTAAGAAAAAAAATCAACAACATATTCGATACTCTATGATCAGACTTGTTAAGAAATTTGTTATTAACAACAGTTAAAATACCAAAGCTCATACTTCATCTACTTTTTAAAACAAGTAAGAGAATATTCAAGATTATCCATAGAATTCTGTCACATTCAGTTATTTGTCATATGACTAATAATAGAAGGGAAAAGCTTCTCTTAGAGCTGATGTCCTAGGAATCACATGACACTACTACCTAAGGTATTTTAATAAGATACGATAATGTAGTGGCAGAAAATGACTTCTGTAATTAAACAAAAATTCCCTGACAATTAAAAAAAGAAAAAATGTGCCATGAAAACAGTCAAATTTCATCAGAAAACTATACACCAAATATTTCTTGATAGCAACCACCTGTAAAGTCAAAAGGTCCATACTCAAACTTAAGGTAATGAGATAAGTGGATGCCTCAAATGTTTTTAGTAACCATTAAATTTGGAGGGGTGAATAGATGGTAATTTTCAACATGGATTTTTAAGTCTCTAATAAGTTGACAGTTACAAAATGTTAAGTGGAAGCTTTATGGTCAAGATTCAGTGAATGGCCACTTAAATTCTGGATGCCAACCTGAGCTTAAACTGCTTGAGTTTAATCACTAAATACATTACTTATTGATAATGTTTTAAAGGAATATAATCCAAAAAATGTCTGAAGGACAAATCTTTGGATTTGCAAGTAGAGTTCCAGATTACTAACCAAACTTAATTTTAAAAGGTATTTACTTTTTATCTATTAGCAAGGTTTATGGCAGCACTGAAAAGCTTGCCTGATTGATAGAAATGACACCATCCTAACTATTGAAAGGAGTGAATTTGAGAGTTAACTCCAATGCTAACTAACAATATTTTAGCTCAGGCAAATATTTCTTTAGCATTAGCTGTTGGTCAAAACTAGACTTTCATAGCTGTGAGACAAATAATCCAAATAGGTTCAACTGAAGACCCTTTATTAGTAATTTACTGCAATCATTTAAAAGTATTCTCATATTAACAATAACTTTTTTTTAGGATCATAAGTTATTTTTTTAAACAAAAAAAAAGGATTTTCCTTACCAAATGTACTGTTTTTTTAAATTTCATTTTTAATAATAGCAGCTACATATAAAGTATTGACTATATGTTAGGGACTGTTCTTAAATATATAAACTCACTTTACCCTCTAACAACCCAATTAGCATTATCTAGTATTAATACATGAGGAGATTGTACTGCTCATAGTAATACAACTAGTCACAAAGTGAGGAATCTAACCCAGGAAGTCTGGTTCAAGAGTCTGTGCTCAGTGTATTTCTTCAACTTATTTATTAGCACATTAATTTGAACTTACATTTTTGGTTCTTAAAAAGGCAACCTATCTTATCTCAATAAACATAACTTGGAAAAGGAAAAAAGAAAAAACATTGGACAACCCCTAACTTAATAACATTCTATAAAAGTACTGGCCAGTAAAAAAAATAAAAATTACTGACCAGTATAAGAAAAGTGTGAGATACTATCACAGCTAAGAGGGACACAAGGAAACAGGATAACTAATTAAATGTAATGTAGTAACCTGGGAAGATCCTGGGATAGCAATAAGGACTTAAGGAAAAACTTAAGGTAAAACTATGGGTGTTAGTTAATAATTTACCAATGTTGATTCACTATTCATGACAAATATGCCATATAAATGTAAGACATTAATAATCTGGGAAATTGGTTATGAGGTGTATGGGAACTCTGTACTATCATAACAATTTTTGTGAAAGTCTAAAGTATTCTAAAACAAAATGTATATTTGAAATAAGAGATATACTTGTAAAAATAAAAAACAAAACAAAACAGTTAACTTGCTGCTGGCTAAATCTTCTGAAAGAAGAAAAATATTCTGTTATTATTTTATTTAAATCACTCCCCAACAACTTTAAGGGATTTTTTTATTTTTCTCTGTAATTAAGAGCAAATACAATCTGTTTGTCAATCATGCCAATGGGTCCTTTTGAGAGTGTAAATTAGGCACTATGCGAAAAGTATCAACATATTTAGTGTTGTCATTCAGACATTCCAAGTGCTTAATATATAAAATAAGTTACTCTTGGGCACAATTTATCATATATATTTTGCATTTGCATTTGAAAATATCAAATAATCAAGGAGGCTTTGTCTCATAATTCATAGAAAACTGGTTCTCCAGTACTACTGTAGAAGACTGGAGGGAAAATGGTCAATCAGTTTGATAACTGGCAATTACCCAAGGTAGATAACATAAATTGAAATGTATATTACGGGGCCTCCCTGGTGGCACAAGGGATTAAGATGCAACCTATGAAGTTATCCAAGGCCTACCCACATGGTGGAGCAGACAGCTCCTGACTTGCGTGCTGCTCCCCTCAGCAGTGTATTTCAGTCAATCTGCCTGTTCTGCTCCCTACTCTGTCTGTAGTGAATCCTCACACCCCCCCATACCTCTGGCCTGTACCCCAACTCTTGTAGGATAATGGAGATCAGAGAGGATAGAAACATGCCACAGTGGAGTGAGAGTGGGACTGTGGAAAATGTTAAAATGCAGGCCTTACATTTATTAGCTGGGGAGTCTTAATTAGGCTATTGAAGCTCTATGCACATTATTTTCCTTATCTTTAAAATGAAAAGGGTACTATTTTGAAGGCTTGTTATGATTAAATGAGTTTATCTAAAGGGCCTATCAATGTTTAGTACCCAATAGGTGCTTAATAGTCAGTTATTGTTTTCACAGCAATTAATAATTATGAATATCAGTGAAAGTAATAATGTAAGAATTACAATGTAAGTCATATATGAGAAAGGGAGAAAAATGTGTTAATAATGAATTCATAGGAAGAATCAGGAAGGAAATAAGTGGCCACTAAAAGCAAAAAGATAAAAAACACTGCCAGGAAGGAAATACATTATAAATAAGGGTTAGGGAACCTAAAAATCTTAGCACATTTGGAGTCTCAAGCAAAACTCTCTGAACTGAGCTTAAAATTTAGGAAAAAAATAAAGGAAGACACAGATGGTTTGTTAATCTGGCCTTGAATGCCAGGTGACAGAATTGTTCCTGAGACTCATAGGTCAAGTGTGAAAGCTTGATTTTGTCAAATGTAAAGAAAAAATGGTTTATTTTTATATGTGTATAAACACACAATAGTTTGAAAGTAATACTACTTAAAGAATTCATATCCATTTAAAGTTATTTTAGTTGTACTCTAATAGCTAGAGTATACTACTAAAATGCATTGATAAAAAGAGACAGGACCGGGCCTCCCCAGTGGCGCAGCGGTTGAGCACTGAGTTGCGACGCTGCCCGAAGCCTCTGCGGCGCTGGTTTGATCCCCGGCTGCTCCCCAGTCACCAAAGGAGGGTCCTGCATGGCGCGCAGACCTCTCCTGCTGCCCGCTGCTCCCCTCAGCAGTGTACTTCAGTCCTTCTGCCTGCTCTGCTCCCTGCTCTGGCTCTGGTGAATTCTCTCACCCTCCCGCACTTCTGACTGTACCCAGTGCTTGCATAAATAAATAAATAAATCTTTTTAAAAAAGAAAAGAGACAGAACCATGAAAAATTGTAACTTTGATAGTGTGGTCCTTTCTTTAAAATCAATCATATTTTATATATCAGAGATAATACACCTATCATATAAATTAAAAAAATGAGTTCATAGAATAAAAATATACTTTTTTAATAAACCAGAAATCAGGCTTATTTGTAAATATAATGCTTAAAAAACCAAAAATAAATCATTTTTCTTAAAAACGGTCTTTTAAAAATAAATAGAAAAATTGTCTAAATAAATTGAGTATACTTTTAATGTTAAGCTTTTGTTCAAAGATTGAGTCAGAAGAAATACATACTGAAATGAAAATACTAACTCCAACTTCCAGAAAGAACTAGCAGTAGAAAAAGAAAATATCAAATATGATGAAATTATGTATTTTCCAGCAGATACTAGAATCTGCTTTTGAGATGTTAAAAAAAATCAAGTCATTGAAAATTTTAGCCCTATCTGTTAATTATGTGCAGAGGAGAAAAATTAAACAATAATTAATTTTAAAGATGGAATATTTTTTTATAATTTCAACCACTGATCATTTAAACATGCACAAAAATTTCAATTTTCTCCATTTTTCAAATCTGAAATCTTTCACAAAGTTAAAATGGGAAATGTAGTTTACAGACTATCAAGTGCTTAAGTGTTGTAAAATTCAAAGAGTGATAGCTTTTTCTTCCTTCTGTATTGTAAACCTGAAATCATCCCTCTTAAAAAAAATGACAACTGTAATTAAACACTAATTTTGTCTTTCAATATCATTTTTATATTCTAGCTAATGTTCAATAATTTGAATAGGAATATGCATAACATAGGATGGGTGACTACAGTCTCTTACTGTAAATCAATTTTGAAAACTCCCCCTTGTGATGGACATATTAGATATGCAAACTATGCACGGTATATAATGTTTTTAAAAATGCATATTTCAAGAAGATTAGCATGCAAAGTAGATATAGGTAATTATCTAAAGACAGCAGCTGATCTGCACATACATACATTTAAAGACTCTTTCCAATAACTCTTCAGAAGTATAAGAGCCAGTAGATGGGACCGACTAATTGGGAAGTCAGTTTAGAAAGGGTCTAACTCAATCATATTTGTTTAGTTCCTCACAGTACGACAGGGTTTACACATCAATCCTGAAAGGTAGACGGTGAAGGAGAAAGAATTTTCATCCTACAATTGTGATAGAAGTCTAGAGAGACTAAGGAAATGGGTGAAAGATACACAGCTTAATACTGGTGGAATTCCTATTAGATAATAGGCCTTTTTATGACTAAGTCAACGTTTTTTACCCACTAGAACTTATTTATCTTTTCATAGAAAGGTCAGAGTAAGAGATTTAACCAATAATTCAGAGAGAATTTATACTTTTTGATTTGATTTATACTTTTTGAACCACCTAAAACTTGGCTACAACTATACATAATGATAATCTTAGGGTATTACAACAAAATTAGCTAGGCTATGTTAAATAGATAAACTTAGTAAGAAATTTATTATTAATTAGTAAGATAATAATTTCCAAATATTATAACATTTTCAAGTTCTAACATTTTTAAACTTTCACTTTGTAGTTGTAATTTCTAAACTAATTAATCTAGAAAATTTAACTTTCTGATTAATAGCTTAATGACCTTAACATTAAAATCAGGTATTAAAAAATCAGGTATTAAAATCAGGTATTAATGCACTAAAATGCATTAATCCATGTCATTAATTAGTAAAGAGGCCAGTATTCCAATTGTAGAACGATGAGTAAGGTGATAGGCAAAACAATGCAGGAAATGTGACTGAAGCTTACTAAAAGAACTAGCACTAGTTAAACTGCAAATAGAGCCTGTTTTAAATCACGTTTTTGGATTTTAAAACAATGTTATGGTACTTTTTGAAGTGTGATAATAAAGTGATGTTTCTTTTTTCTGCCCCATTCCAAAGAACCACACAAAACCAAATTAAAATAGTAATGGAAAAAATGCTTACAGGTTTGTATCTCAGAGCATCTCTGTAGGATCCAAACAAAGCAGCCTGTGCCCTAAGAAAGGCCCTGGCTACGCCATCACCCGTAGCTGTAGACTGCTTCTTCAGTTTATTTTTCAGGGCCGAGACCTGCATGACAGAGAGGAACAGTTAAATTAACACCTCAGAAATTGGTACAGCGAGGTACGAACCCAATCAGCAGGCAAACCACAGTGTCTGCAGGTCAGCCAAAAACTCATCCTCCTCCCTGATAGCTTATCTTTTTAACTGCAGAGAGCACCTGCTGGTCTGTTAATTGAAACGAAAGCAGGAGCCTATAGTAACGTGCTAATGCAAATTGGTTTATGCTCTCTTTTTTTCCCAAGGCCTCTTGACATAAATAAGCTTTAATTATTTTACAGTAAACTGCCTGTGAGCCACTTTTCTGGAGAATTTTAGCAATTACAACATGCTGTTTACTTGTTTTGAGATGAAGTCAGTTGGGTATCATTCACTTACTAAGTAAGGTTATTTTGTTACAGGTCCTCTAGGATCATTTACCATTTAATATTTTTGGAAACCTCACTGCATATGTAATTTTCCAGTCATTTGTTTTGTATTTTCACTATCATTAGATTTTAAAAAGGAGGAGAGAAATTAAAGTTACCGAGATCTTACAATGAATGGAAAATTGTTATATAAATGTTATACACTGTCTCATTTAATCTCACAACAATCTTCTGAAAAAGACATTCATATTATCATTTGTGACAGAAAATATTGGGTCTCAAAGATGTGACTCACTTTGCCCTTACTATATATCTAATAAGTGGCAAAACTATGACATAAATCCAGAGCTGTCTAGTCTTTTCCATTACTATATGCTGTGCTTGAGTTCAATATTCTTGCCTTATGAACCAACAATCAGATTAAAATAGTATTTAAAGCCAAGAAAAATTTATAATCTAGAAATGTGTGTTACTTTTAAACAGCACTTACATTTGCTATAATTTATTATACACTTTTATCCTGTAATTTCAAGTTATGTATATTTTAAGGAATGTCTATTACTTATAAACAAACTTAGCTTAGATGAACACTTTTTGAGACCATACTACTGAAGGAAACATACTCTTATTTTTTAATGGAGGGAGTGATGTGGTATGTTCCCATGAATGGAATTGACTTGACCAATTTCTTACACACATAATAGGTAACTACACTATGTATACTTAAAATATCAATGGTATATATACTCTATATTAATGCTTTACATGTAAACATGAAGAATATAAAATTATTTTCTTAAGAAAAAAAAGATGACGGGATAAACTCTGGTTGGATTGCTCCCTTAACAGAACAGAAAATGTTCTTATCTTTACACAATTGCCAGATAATAAATACCCTTTCTCCTTTACATATGCTACCCTAAGAGGAATATTTTTATTTCTTCATGCAAACAGTCCTGACTACTCTTGTAGATGATGATTGTAATTGAAGTGTCAGCCTAATTAACAACTAAACTTTGAATAATACTAATGAGATATGAACATAGCATCAGAGGAAAGACCAGCTCTACAGGTGATAAACCTTCACAGAAGTGACATTTTCCAATGTAAAGTCACAGTTACTGTGATCTGATCAAAGAAAAAGACCCCCATTGGGTCCAATTATAACCATAGTTTTGAAAAAATTATTGAGTTATGATATTCATAATCTATGCAGAAAAGCCTTTGCAGTATAGGTCTTCTCCCGATAGCTGTGATCTTTTCAATTTATATCCAAGCTCTATAGATTCAGATAAAAGTTTAGAGCCTAATTCACTTAGCCCACAAAGTGCATAAACCTGGATTCATTTAAGAGGAAGCTTTTATTATTAAAATATAACCTCAATAAATGTACATTTTTAGGTAACCTCAGATTCAAACAATAAATATACCTGAAGGATATGAAATCAAATCTTCTAACTTAAAGCCCTTTATTCTGAAGTTTGTAATAATCTTATTTGTTAAATAAGTCTCAAATAACTTTCAAGAGAATCCAATGGGAGTGAATGCTTGTAATTAATTATTGCCCCCAAGAAAAAAGGCTCTTGACAGAAGGAATATTATTCCAGCCTTCCAAATTATAAAAAGTAAATGGCTGGATTTTTTTTTTTTTAGTTTTTAGTTTAGAAAGTAAAAAAAAAAAAGTCATGTTATATCTTTGCAAAAGAAATTTCTTGAACATGTAGTCAATAAAACATGAAACAAGAACAAATAGGGAACGAAGCACAATGGACTTTGGTAGTGGACTACGAATGATATGGAGGAGGGTACCCTACAGTGGCAATACCTGAAGGGGAGAATCCTAATGTTAACACAATTAAAAGAATAAATTATTTTTAATAAAATAAAAGGAAATATGAAATTGACAATTGTTATCCACAAAACAAGCATTTTAGGATACTAAAGTTCATAAAGAGTGAAAGCAGGTCAAACTACTCCTTGCTGTGTGTTACCCCAAATCCTTGATTGCTTAATTGTTGCTTAAATTATCTGGGATATTAAACATATTGCCACAAGCTCTTCCTAGCCAAATCATAATTATGTGGCCTGCATTTGCAAAATCTGTCAGTCCATGATAGTTTCCAAGCTCCCTCAGGAGTTCCGAAGAAAATAAGGAAATAAAAGTGTAATACTTGTTCTATAATACTGTGTTGTTCCAATCCAGAAACCACAAAATGTGGCTAGAACAAACTGAGATTTCCCTTAAGTGTAAAATAAACACTGAATTTTGAAGGATTATTGTCCCTAAAATGTAAAATATCTGAACAATTTTTATACTGATTACATAACAAAATATTTTAATATATTGGGTTAAATAAATACATAATTAAAATTAATTTATTTCTTTTGCTTTTTTAATGTGGCTACTAAAAATATTTATATTTCATATGTGGCTCATATTATATTCCTATTGGATAGTGCTATTCCATAAGAGTGTAATACCTAATTCCACACAGATATAGGAATCTAAATAACTGCCTATCAAGAAATATGATATTTTCCTTTGGCTCTTTCTACATCATTTCACAAGGAAAAGTCAAGAGTTTTTCCTTGACTCAGGTAAAAAGGTGGGTTAGTATCATTTCAGAAACTGTCACTGTTTTTCAGAGACCTGAAGAACAAACAGCTTAGTTAAGTGTTCTGATTTGCACAAATAAACGCTCAAAAATAACCTGTAAAAAAGGAAACTGTCTTTTAAAGTCCATTTGAGATATAAGGGTATTACTCTAATATAAAATGACTGGATCAACTTTGCTGCTTTCCGGTCCTTTAGATCACTGGAGTAAATTATCATCAGTCACCATGGCCCTGGCAGTGCTAATTAGCTTTTAGCAGTATTTATCTATAAAAACAGTGATGTATCTCCTACATTTTTCAATATTTTCTCTTGAAAATATCATTTTTGCTTTAATTTCCCAGCTTCTAAGTTTAGTTATTAAATAAATGTACATATTCCCATGAAATCCTAAAGCTTACATGAATATCTAGGTCTAAATTCAGAAAAAACCATTTGAAACCTTATGACACAATCCTATTATGTGGCACTTAAGATGTTTCAGTTTATACTGAAAAAGAATAAATTGCTTTCTCTTTTCATCTTTAACAAAACTAGCCTCAAACTCCAATGGCTAAAAATTACTTCAAAACTGACATTTTATTTTATGGTGATATTTTTGAGTCTGTAAATAATATTTTAGTCTAAGTATTATATTAAACCCCCAAAAAGTTAAACAGTAAAAAGAATTTTGGAAATGATCATTATTCATTGCTGTAATCAAATTTTAAAATTCCTTCTACAGTGAGAATTCAGGCTTCTCCACAGTCATCCATAGGATGAATTATAACCTGCGATTTATCACAGTAGGTGTTCATTGCAAAATGAATAATATTACCACTAATTCTCCACTTTTACCCTTGTAGCACTAAAGTAACTATGAATTAAAGGAGGGAGTTAAGTGAGTAAGCATAGCAAACAGTATACATTAAAAGAATGTAAGTAATGCCTCCACAGTCTGAGTAATGAAGCAATTATTCCAACTTTGAGTTATGAAGAAGAGTATATAAAGGAGCTGAGTTTTGAGAGCAGTGACAGATCTTTTTCTTACTGACTTTCTGGTAAACTTTTGAAACAAAAATAAATTAACCATTATATGCAGAAATTTTAATTCTACATTTAAGGATCACAAAGAGAAACTTCAGGTAAAGAACAGAACGTAAAAAATAAGTAACATTTGGGTAAATATACAACCTAAAAAAAAAAAACCTATGATTTTTCAAATATCCTTTTATATAATACAACTATTGTCTAGAAACGACACACATTTAGAAAAGTTAATGCTTTAAATATCATCTGCTTTAGAAAAAAGTCACAAAATTAAAAATTTTTATTCTACCATGAGCTATATTATGGTTAGCATATGAATTAGATACTACTTCCCTATACTTCCTTAATCCTTCTAAATTAGTTCATTGTTTTAAGACCCAAATTAACCCTTCCCTCTTAACATAATTTTCTAACAAGCTTCTATTTAAGGATAAAAAGAGTAACCTTTAACATTTATTAAAATGAAAAGCATATGATATATTCTTAGAGGATATTATTACATTATTTCTTCGGATGTTTAAATTATCTATTAAACCTAACTAATGCGGTGTCATGTACAACTGTTTTCCTTTCAAAGGCATCTTAAAATCAAGTCAACCAAAATGCTCTTATCCTCCCTCAAGCCTGATGTCATGTAAGTATCTACTAATATCAATGTTACTTCTACTCATACAGATGCTCAAGCAGGAATTTTGTAGGTTCTCTTTAACATCTCACCCTCTCTCATCTCCCCTATCATCACGTTCAAAGACTGATTTAAATCTCTCTACTTTTCTAAATCCCTGCTATTATCAAGTTCAATAAGTATCCTATCTTTCACCTTGACTACTGGCAAATGGTATATGATTATGTAAATGGTAGCTGAACAGCCTACTTTATTTCTTGTACCCAGTAATCTTCAGGATCCAGACCCAAGATGATATTTTTAGAAGTCAAACTGGATCACACCAATCCTCTGCTAAAAATCTCCAGTAAATTTCCACTAAATTCCAAAGATC